TTGCAGTATAATAATGAACATTTCTTGATTCCTTACTATGCGCCAGGCTCTGTTTTAAGAGATTTACAAATACTGAGTATTATCCCAATTAGATTTCCCAATAAACCAATGACATAGGCTCCATAATAATCTCCATTCTACATGAGAGGAAACTAGTCATAGTGGGTTTAAAAAAAATCAGAAACACATTATCAGGAACCACCTATAAATTAGCAAGGGATCATTTGGTGTTTACAAATTCTGCCCCCCGCCAAAATATTGAAATGCAAAGAAAGGCTGGACCCCAGAGTTTAAAGGTAGGGAGTCTAATCCCCCTAGATCTTCAACACACTGCTTAGGACTTGCTCTATCCCAGAACATGTCCGTGCAAGGGAGATGGCGTTCACCATGGAGTGGGAATGACATTCGTTGGGATCTGTTCCTAGGGAAGAAAACACATAAGCAATCAAACCTTATGACTCACCCAGTTGCTCAAAATGAGGATCCCTTTCCTTATACTGTCTTCAATGAATCTTACACCTTAAAGAATCATGTGATTTATACCAAACTTCTGTCTAGTGAATGACAATTCCTGCTTATTGGTTCCCTTTTTCAGAATCTGGCCACACCCAGGGGTTAAGGAAGGCTGCCCAAGTTCATCATCTCTAATATTTTAATATTATAGCATATAGTATATAAATTAATATATTAATAATATATTAATATATTTTAGGAGTGGGGCCCATTGAGTGAGAGCTGCTCTGACTGCAAGTCTCTCAGCCCCCATCCTTTCCCAGGCTCCAGGATGGTGGTCCCGAGGATCACTGGGGTCCCAGGGATGGCCGCTCTCATGATGTCCTTGGGGATGCTAAGCTCCCCTTTGGTTCAGAGCAGAGACACCCCAGGTAAGTGCAGAGCTGCTCCTCTTGGAGGATCCAGCTCAGGGGAATGACCTTAGGGGGCTTTCCATGTGGGCTTACTCCCTGAGAAAGACTTTGGGGCTCTGACATCGTGCAGGGGCTGCTATTCTCAGCAGAGTGAGGAGATCAGGATGTGCGTGTGATGGGGACAATGGTACCTGGTGGTCTGGAGTAATTTTGGAAGGACAAGTTTCTCACAAAGGGGTCATCAAAATGACATTTTAACATCCATCAAAGATCAGAAAGGGGGAAATTATGGTTAGTCTGCATTGTCCAAGATCTGAAGATCACTCTGTAGAGCCAGTGCTTCAGGTAGGGGCTCCTTCCACAGAACCAGGCAGGAGCCCTCATTGGAACCAGTGAGGAACCAGTGATGGCCAGAGTAGCAGAGGAGAGTGATGAGGATAAGCTATGGTTAAGGTAAAATATTAGAGAAATCTCATATAAAAAGATAAAAACTGCAAGAAGAAATAAAAAGTATAGTAATTAGAAGTGAAATAGTTAATATTTTTTGCATCCTGATTATAAGGAACTATGCTAGGCCCTGTGGGGCAGCTGACCATACCCCCACATCCTCCATGTCCAGAACTCCCACATCCAACACATTAGGATAGGGCCGGAGAGGAAGTGAGAAACAGGAAGAGGCATCTCCTTAAGCTGCCCCTTATGCGTAATTTAATATTATAACTTCTAGTTTTCTGTATCAAAGCCTCATAACACCTCTTAATTTCTAGTTCCAATTTACCACCAAGACCATGTATAATCGAATGGTGAGCAGTTTATGTTAAAATTCTCCATCGGAAACAGATACACATCCATATGCCTACACTTTGCTCCAGGCCCAGGGACCCTGTGGGAAACATGACCTTAATTGACAACTGAGATTCAGACATCAGTAAGCCAGCTAACATCCTGGGATCTGCAAAGATGGTTGCAGATGCCCCTGAAAAAATGTGTGTGGGGGGGAATAAAGTAAAGCCTGGCAGGATGGGGCAGGTAGAGGACTAGTGGATAGAGTACAGTATGACGTGGTATAAAAGAGACCTTAAGGTACTAAAGGCTTAACAAATTTACCATGGGAGACTCCTGCAAAACAGTGTGTCTACTGGAAAATGGATCTTTTCTGCTGCCTGGAGGAGGAGAGGAGCCCTGGGGGTCAGAGTCCAGAAGTGATCAGAATTCTGGGTGAAATAAAAAGGGGGTGAACAAAGGAGGTTAGCAGCAGGATGGAGATAAGATGAATAGTTCAATCAACCCCACAGGGACGCCAACAACCCTTGTGCCCTCCACCCCACGCTATAGGTTAGGGAAGTACCCAGGGCAGAGCAAACATGCTCTAGACCTGGTAGGCTCAGAAACTGCAATCACTACATCCACATTACAGGTCCAGGATATGTGCTCCTAGGGAACTGAAGATATAGAGACCGAAGAAAGGCCCTGGAGTCACAAAGAAGGCACCAGAAATGTCTAACACACACAAGTATTTATTGATCCTTGGGATTACTCAGAAAGAATGCTCTGTAGGGAGGAGTCTCAGAGGAAACCAGGGCCTATACACCATCCATTGTGGGGACTAAATTGTCACCATACATCAAATTCCAGCATTTATTGAGTGCTAAGTGCAAGTAGGATCACAGACAGGCAGGAATTGGAGGGGTCTTTGGGGACATCAGTCATTGGTGTTGAGGAGCACAGACATTCAGAGGCATTGGAGCTTTGAAGTAGCTCTGATGCTGGGGATTCCCCTATGTCCTCTTCTGTCACAAAGGGTTGTCACCTGCAGTAGGACAAACACGGTGGGGTTAGAACTCCCGGTTTAGCTTTGCATCCTCCATCCCTTTACACACCTGCCTCCATTTTCTTTCCTCACCGACCCCTTGGGAGGTAGTCTTCCCAGGAAATGTTGTTGCTCCCAGAGGAGGATCAGTGAGAAGTCAAGGGGCACCCTAGGGAGATGTCATTTCACTCTCCAGCTCTCCACAGTGCTCTGAAACTCCTGAGACAGTGAGGCCCAGCAGCGCAACGATCAAAGTTGAAGGAGGTAGGACTTGGGCACAGTATGTGAAGCTGCCCTTTAAAGGGGCGCCAATAACCCTTCAATACTGGCCCATTGGATATTTATCTTAGTTGCCAGATTATAAACATCTAACATCACTAATTACTTCCTTGTTCCTGAAATGCCTTAGGTGATGAAATATTCTTCTAATTCTCCTGCCTCTCTGTTTCTTTGAAGTCTCTTGGAACACATCTCTTTCTTGCATTTTTTAAAGTAGACTCCATGCCCAGCATGGAGCCCAATGCAGGCTTGAACTCACAACCCAGAGATCAAGACCTGAGCTGAGATCAAGAGTCAGACACAACCAACTGAGCCACCCAGGAGCCCCCTTGCATTTTATATAATAAACATAAGATAGGAGGTCCTGATGTACAAATCATGTGATGTCTAGTTTTCACTCATGCTGCATGTCCAGTGTGTCAGCAGGGTAGCTCGGCTACTTATAGTTTTTCAGGGAGCCAGGATGACAGACCTTCTTTGACACCTGCTCCCATAATTTCCCAAGCAGAGTGAAGGACCCTAGTGAATCATACACTGGCTCTAAATGATCCCTCCTGGAAATAATGTGTCACTTCTCACACTTCATTTTCCAAAGCAAATCACATGGATGTATCCAACTTCAAAAGAGTTGGAATCTTTGGAGCTAGAAAGTAATCAATAAGTAGACATTAAATAAATAATATATCACTCACTTATACCAGACCAGACACATGTATTGAGGACTTATTTTGTATAAAGAACTATACTAGGCCTTGTGGATAAAAGAAGCTTCTAGCTCATAAAAGGTTTATAAATTATCTACTGGCCTAAAGAGGGCCTCTGGGGTGTTGGCAATGTTCTATTCCCTGACCTAGGTACTAGTTACGTGAGTGTTCTCTTGATAATCATTGGCTGTACATTAATGTTTTGTGCATTTTTACATACGTCTGCTAGTTCACAGTAAAAGGGTTTAAAAAGAGAGGTAAAGAAGGATATTGGTAATTTGAGGCAAAAACAAGAAACCAATTATCAAGCAGAAATATTGAGTTTTAATAATGGTTGGAATAAAGAATATTTAGATGAAACAACTGGTGGGACTTCTGCAACTGAAGAATAATTAATAAACAAGAGGTCGGACTAAGAAATGCTCTGAAGGGCAGTGTGAAAGATTAAACAATAGGAAATATAAAAGAAAAGCTGTGAGACATGAAGGATCAAAACTGACTTCCTGACATCTTGATAATCAGACACCTAGAAAGTGGGGAAAATCGTAGACGGAGATGAAATGTCTGAAAAAAAGAACAGATTTCTAGGCTTTATAGAAAGATGATATAACTTAGTTTGACATGGTACATTGATGACAAATAGATTTTTTTTAAGATTTTTTATTTTTTATTAGAGAGAGAGAGAGAGCACAAGCAGGGGGAGCGGCAGGTAGAGGGAGAGGGATAAGCAGGCTCCCTGCTCAGCAGGGAGCCCGACGCGGGACTCGATCCCAGGACCCTGGGATCATGACCTGGGCCGAAGGCAACCGCTTAACTGACTGAGCCACCCAGGCGCCCCGACAAATAGACTTTTTAAAAACACATCTCTTTAAAAAGCACACATATTTAGATACATTTTAAGAAAACTGTAAGAACTTCAAAGAAAAAAAAAATTCTCAACACTTGCAGAGAGCAGTTCCACCTGTAAAAGAACAAGAGCAGATCCATCTGGAAAAGAACACATAGACATCATTCCTATCAACAGCAGCACTTAATGCCAGAACACAATGAGATGTTACTTGCATAGAATTGAAGAAAAAGAACTTTCAATCCCAAAATGTATACCCATAACACATGGTCATTTTAATACAACATGAATATTCTCAAACATTTCAACCTCAGATGCTTTGCTATTCAAAAAACCACTTTTAAAATGCTTTTTAAAAGTTTTTAAGAGATTTTATTTATTTATCTGAGACAGAGAGAGAGTGTGTGCGCACAAGTGGGGGGAGGGGCAGAGGGAGAAGCAGGCTCCCCACCGAGCAGGGAGCCTGATGCAGGGCTTGATCTAAGGACCCTAGGATCATGACCTGAGCTGAAGGCAGCCCCTAAAATACTTTTTTATTTTTTTTTAGAGATTTTATTTATTTATTTGAGAGAGAGAATGAGAGAGAGAGAGAGCACATGAGAGGAGGAAGGGTCAGAGGGAGAAGCAGACTCCCTGCTGAACACGGAGCCCGATGCCGGACTTGATCCTGGAACTCCAGGATCATGACCTGAGCCGAAGGCAGTCGCTTAACCAACTGAGCCACCCAGGGGCCCTAAAATACTTTTTTAAAAAGCACCCCTAAGGGGCACCTGAGTGGCTCAGTCAGTTAAGCATCTGCGTTCAGCTCAGGTCATGATCCCAGGGTCCCAGGATCGAGCCCCGCTTCGGGCTCCCTGTTCAGAGGAGAGCCTGCTTCTCCCTCTGCCTGTAGCTCCCCCTGCTTGTGCTCTCTCTCTCTCTCACACACAAATAAATAAATAAAATCTTTTTTAAAAAAGAGTTTAAAACAAACACAAACTAAAAATGTAGTTAATATTAACATAAAGAACATGCTAGGTAGTGATAATAGGGAGAAATGAAAAATACTGCAAAGTGCTTGTCTCTTTTGTGAGGCAGGAAGAAAAAGGGATTTATCAGTGTTTTAATCAATGTAATTAAGGGCATTAAGATAAGCCATTTTATGAGTATAATTAGAAACTACAACTTTTATACTAACAGAATTTGGCCTAGCCTTTAGGAATGAGAGATGAGAAAAATGAACAAGAATAAAGTACATTAAATAAACATTTTAATAATATGATAGTAAATTTTTAATATAATAGTAACTGCAATAAATTGAATGAGCTAAACAACCAATTAAAAAGAAGAAAAGCTCAGATTGTGTCTTCAACACAGTCTAACAATATCTAAAGGTCAAAAACCAAATAACGGAAAAAGGCACTTCAGGCAGGTAAACAAAGATAACTGACATAACAAATCTCACATCTGCCAAAAGAGAATTAAAGGCGAGTGAAAAAACTAGAGCAAGAAACTATAATGAACATGAACATATATTCTTCTGAAAATAAAACCTCAAAATACAAGAGCAACAAATGACAGAAATAAGTGGAGAAAGGCTCTAAAAATTGAAAATCTTCAAATTTAACTACAGATTTTAACATATCCTCAAAAACTAAGAGCAGAAGCAAAAAGAAAATAAAGATATAGAAGATCTTAATAATACAAGCAAAAGGCTCAAATAACTACATAGAGATTTCCACAACCAACAACATGCACATTGTTTTCAAGCATACATGGCACATTTCTGAAAACAACATTTATTAAGCCACAAAGAAAGCCTCAGTGTGTTCAAATTAATATCACATATGTTCTTTGGCCATAATGCAATTGAATTCTAAATTGATGAAAAAGAATAAACAAATGAAATCCATATACCCCAAATATGCAATTAAATAACCATAGGAATTAAAATATAAATGACGGAACACTTCATAGTTGGTGAAAACCTGTATATCAAAAGTAGTGCCTAGAAAGAAACGTCTAGCTTTTAAACAAATATATTAGGAAAGGAAGCCTGAAAACAAATGTGCTAATCATTTCCATTAAGAGAATGGGAAAGTAGAAAAACAGCAAAAGAAAAAAAATGTAAATAGTAAAGACAAGGACAGAATTCAGTGAACTAGAGAACAAAAAATAGGGAAGATAAACAAAATGAAAGTTTGATTCAATGGAAAGTTTAAAAAGGCTGACAGACCCATCTGGCAAAACCGTTAAGGAAAATGTAGGAGATTCAGAATGAAAGGGGAAAAGGGCTATATACACAGACATTTTTAAATGAAAAAAAGTTTGTTATGATCAACTCTATTCCAATAAATCTGAAAATTTAGATTAGATGGATAAATTTCTAGAAAGATAAAAAAGTCAAAACTACAGGAAGTAATAGAAACCTGAAATAGAGTCATGAGCATCAAAGACACCAGCTTGGGAAAGCAAAGAACACCTTCCCAACAGCCCTTGTCCTAACATGGCAGCTAGGACATTTCAAAAACAAATCATTCTTCTCTTATACATGTCATTCTAGAACACAGAAAGGAACAAAAGCTTTCTGAATCATCTTATAGGGCTGGTGCATCTTTATCTTCAGAGCCAGCTAAGGATAGTACAGGAGAAGAAAATTATGGATTAATGTCAGCCATGTCACTGAATCCAACAATATATTACAAGCATGATTCATTTCGATCAAAGAAGATTTGTACTAGGATAGTGTAAGTGCATGACTATTAGTTTATTTTATTGTAATGTAAGTGCCTAACATTAAGCTTTTGATTGCCAAGGCATCCATCTCAAAGATATCCATCGAAAAGACACATATTGCCTGATATACAACTAGATAAAGAATAAAGAGCCCGGCTGCCCTCCCCCCAACCCCCCATGAAATTCCCCTTTTAGAAAGCCCTGGGTGACCTAGATAACAATAACGGACTGCTTGAGTGACCCTGCTTTTCCCTTCCTGCACTTTAATTCCAGTTCTTACATTTTAAATTCACCAATAAAGAGTGACCCTGTGACGGCAGAGGAAGGCACCCCTTCCTCAACCCCAATAATGGCAGATCCCCAGGTCTCTCCCACCCCCCACAACCTCACTGTGTGGCTCTGGGCAGGCCATGTACCCTCCAGGACTTGTGAGTAATAAGCTAATAAATCTTGTTTTTTTCGAAGTTCCCTGATGGTTGTTGCTGGGGAGTGTCTTGCAGTCATAAGAACCACAAGGGCCTGTCTGGGAAATGTCTGTAGGGACTCCCCACAAGTAGTAGTGACCCAGCTGAGTGCCCCCAGGCATTCCTAGCTGATCGCATCACCATGGATAGGCTGAGACCACACAAAACACCTAGGGATGCCGTGAAGTCACAAAGTCAGAAAATCAATAATATGATCAAAAAAAAAAAAATCAGTAGACCAAATAAGAACATTCGTATTAATTTCAACTGAATTCAACTCAATAAGTGCATAAACAATTTGATCAGTTTTACCACATGTAAATATTATTAGCAAAAAATCTATAGCAAATATATTTATGGAGAAATTAAATGCATTCCCTTTGAGATTATGCAAAAGGTAGGATGTCCTTTATAATTACAAATGTTTAACACAGTATTGGAGGTTCACAGACATCACTATGACAACAGAAGAAAACCAAGGTTATGAAGATTGTCAGGGAGAGATAAAATGACTGCAGATGATATATATAATCTACACATTGGATAAGACTGAGCCTCTGGAGCCCCAAGGCCTGAGTTCAAATCCAGACTCTGTACCTTTCAAGCTGTGTGACCTTGGACAGGTTCCTTCACCCCTCTTCATGTCTGCTTCCCCCTCTGTGTGATGGGAAATAATGGTACCAACCTCCAGACATAAGTAAGTGAATACATATGAAGCATATAGAATAGTGCCTGGTAAGTAGTAAGCAACTCAACTGATGTTCTTTATCATGGTATTGTTTTCCTCTAGTCAGTGATTCTGCAATACAAAGTGCTCAAAGAACCCCTGTTGAAGTGTTTCTCCTTCCCATCCGCCACCCATACCGGGCTGCCTCCTCTTTTGCACCATGTCCCTGGTACCAGCTCTGGGATGACTCACAGGAGCCCCTGCACCCAGGGATGCTGTCGGGCCGCCTGGTCTTCAGGACAATGATGCCAGTGATGATGCGCACCACACCTGCCACCAGGCCCAGGACACAGACCACACTGTCCTTCATCTCAGGCACCTGGATTGGCTCCTGGGCCTCTGGGGCACAAAGGAAAGACAGAGTTAGAAGGCACAGAGAGCAGGAGCTGGCCTCAGGTGTAGGAGTATGAAGAGTTAGGAAGCGTGAGATCACCGGTGAAGTTTGGATAAAGTGACTATAAGACACACGAGATTAAGGAAAGCAGGTGCTGCAGAAAGATGGATCCTGGAAATAAAGATGGTGTCAGGACAGTGCTGGCAAAGGGTCGGGGCTCCATACCCCAGTGCTGAAGGAGCGGCTGGTCCAGGCCCCAGTGCTCCACCTTGCAGTCATAGACGTCTTCAGCCATGGGAAGGAAGGTTAGGTAGTGGAACTTGTGGAATCTGAATTCTGTGCTGGGCAGGAAGATGGTCTCAGCTATACCTTCGGTGACCATCTGCCCATTGCGCAGCCATGTGACATTGAGCACAGGTGGGAAGAACTTGTCCACATGACAGATGAGGGTGTTGGGCTGTCCCAGCTCCACAGGCTCCTTGGGTAACACAGTCACCTCAGGTGCCTCTGAGAAGGGACAGGACCTGGTAAGTCTGCTACCTTTGGCTGAATCTCAAAGGTCTCCACCATCCTAACCCCTATATTCTCCAGGTTAGGGGACATCTCTCTCATGCTGACACTTTGCCCCCACCCCCACCCATGGCTTCTAGATCAAAGTCATGGCTTGTCATGCTCCTGACTGGCCTCCCCCAGCCCAGCCTTGTTCTTGAATAAGAGAATGACTCCTTTGATGACCTAAGTACCCAGCTCTGTGGACTGAATATTGCTCACTCATGAGGAGAGGTTCATTCATGAATGGACATCTGAGTCTCCCATTCTCTATGCAACAGAGGGGCTCTCCCATCTCCACAGCTGGGTGGTAGAGAAATAAGAAAGAGCAAGCAGTACCATTTGTGGCCCTGGTGTGGTTTGACCGTTGGATCAGGGTATTCAGGTTCTTCTTTGCCACGACGATGTCAGCAATACCCCTCCAAGCATCATAGTCAAAGGCATGAATAAACTCTGGCAGATGCCAGAGAGTCTCCTTATCCAGGTCCACATAGAACTGCTCATCCTCATCAAACTCAAATATGCACTCCCCGGAGGGTCTGTGTGTCTGGACAAACTCGGCATACATTGACACGTGGCCCACTGCATGAAGAAGAAGGGAGATTGGAGAACAGGTGATTATGTAGGAAAGTAAACAGAACACAGGAAGCAAACAGTAATAACATGAATGAATAACACAGAAAATGAGAAATGCAAAATGAAAGAAAAGAAATGGGAAGAAACTATGAAAGAAATGACTTACTGAGAATTCAGCTTGTTTCCCTTGTTCCTAAAAACTTAAGCATCCATCACTCCAGCACAATAACAATCACACTGAACACAATAATAAGGTAATATTTATGGAGAACTTACTATGTGTTCAATTTATTCTTTGCATCTTCACGTAAAGCATTCTTTTGCATATTAGGGACATTCCCACAGAGGTTAAGTAACTGGCCCAGGCTAGCACAGCTCCTGGTAGAAGGAAGATTGAATCATCTCCCCACCCACACACATAATATCTCAGAATCCTTGTAGGACCAGACATATAAAATTAGTGATAAAGCCACAGAGTGAGGTGGGGGAGAGGGGAGAATGGAATAAAAATCTTTCAGAGTGGAAAATCTTTTAAATTGTGAAGGAAATGAAAAGGTGATTCTTGGTGCCATTTATAGACTTTTAGTTACTTTTTTAGCTTTAGAATAAAAATGGTAGATTATGTAATTTTGTCCACAACACCTTCATTTAAGGCAAATCAAATTTTGAAGTGTTATCATTTACACAACATTCACAAATTTTCTTGTGGACTTCATGCTTTTAAAGGTAATTTCCCCTGGAAATAAAGGTTGTTGGATTTGAAACACCTATGGGATAGCATCTTAGTTTTACCTGATGTGTAAGAAGCAGCGAAAGTTTGAACAGTGGTGTCCCAATGAAGTACTAGATATTGTTTATGTAAGAATGAGCTTTAAAAAAAAAAACATCCTGGGGTGCCTGGGTGGCTCAGTCGTTAAGCGGCTCCCTTCAGCTTATGTCATGATCCCAGGGTCCTGGGATCAAGCCCCGCATCGGGCTCCCTACTCTGCGGAAAACTGCTTCTCCTTTTCCCACTCCCCCTGCTTGTGTTCCCTCTCTCACTGTATGTCTCTCTCTGTCAAATAAATAAACAAAATCTTTTTTAAAAATTAAATTAAATTAAATTTTTAAAAAATCCTTTCAGAAATTTCTAACTACTTTGTAACTGCATGACTTAACCTGGTAATAAAAGCAGTTATTAAAAGTCTACTTTTTCTAAAAGAAAGAAGGAGAGAAAGAAAGAAAGAAAGGGGGGGTAGAGAGAGAGAGAGAGAAAGAAAGAGAGAGAAAGAAAGATTGACAACAGAAAAAAGCTATTAGTATTACAGTAAAACAATAAAAATGAGAGTTTGGGGCTGAGAAAAGGAAAGGAACTAAGAGGAAGTGACACTCTGGGGCCCACTGGTCCAACTCCCGAATCAAAGATTCGCCCTGCAGCTCCAATGCGTGGAGAACTAATCCTCTCCTGGGACGCTTCTAGTGACAGGATTCATTGTCTCACGTGAATGCTTGGGGGAAATCACTCACCTACAGAAAAGAAGATAAAAGAAAAAGAAAAAGAAAAAAAAACAGTACAGACCTGGCTACATGGACATCGTTTGTTCACCTTAGGATATCTCATTTTTATTGTTTTTGCAATTTCTTAAAACTAAAGGCCTATGCATTGTGAAGCAAATTACACTCTTACAGATGTTCATTTTCATTCAGTCAAAAAAGCCTTTATTGTGAACCTTCATTCTCCAGGCACTTAAGGATGTAACTCAGAAGACATGGTCCTTATCCTCAAGCTACTTGAAATCGAGAAAGGCAAAGAAAAGACGATTGGTATATATGTGTGGTTTCATCACTGCTGTGTTATCACAAGGTGTACTCAGATGCTATTTGGGAGCAAAAGGAGAGCACTAAAATGAGATTGAAGTAAGGCTTCCTAGAGATCATCTCTATGTGAGGTAGAAAAGCAGAAATAGAGGGAAGTGGTGTCTCTAGCAGGAGACACAGGAGCAGAGAGGCATGGGACTTCTTGGAGGACTCAAGAGTCCTTGGATACGACTGAAGCTCAAAGGATGTGGAGGGGCTACACTGGGACCTGCCTTATGTGCTAATTGCAAGTGTTTGAATTTGATCCACAGCCCCAGGGAGATCAGTGAAGGATCTTAATCAAGAGGATAAGATTTGTACTTGAAGGTGGCAGCTGTAGGGAAGATAGATTGGAAGCGGCTCATTTGCAAGCGAGACCAGTAGGACTCTTGAGCAAGCAAGTGGCAAGTGATGAGGGTGTAGATGGGGCAGTAACACAGGGTGAGGAGAAGGAGGATGGGTTGGAATGGCAGTGAAGAGATGAGAAGCCACAGGAATCATTAAGTGCCATGGTAGAAGTAGGGATATGACGGAGTCCAGAATACCCAGGCAACGTGGAGAATTGTGGTGTCAGTGACAGGAAAAGTAATGAAGGACAAGGAAGCGAGAGAAGATAAAATGTTCTTTTGAGGACATAACAAGTTTGAATTTCTGGGGGACAAAGTGGAGTTGACTGAGGGCAGTTGAAATAATGGGTGGATCTCAGGCTAGACTGGGCTAGTGATGTACACTAGGAGTCCACATGGTACACGAAGTTACAAGCTTGGATTGGGTCACCCAAGAACTGTACAAAGTCATCGTAGCAGGGTCAGAGTGTGTGGTCCTGCATCCTGACAAACACGGACATTTAAGAAAGGATGCTGGGGGCACCTGACTGGCTCAGTCAGAAGAACAGGTGACTCTTGATCTCCAGGTTGTGAGTTCGAGCCCCATGCTGGGTGTAGAGATCACTTAAATAAATTTTTTGAGAAAGAGGCGGAAAAGGAGAGGACTAACGAGTAGGAAGAAAAGAAGGAGGATGTGTGCTCCCCAAAGACAAAGAACAAGAGAAAAATTCCAGAAAGGAGGAAGTGGTCACATTGCAAATATTACTAGTGACACAAGTAAGATATACAGAGAAGTGACCACTGGTTCTGGTCGTAAGGAGGCCGCTAGTGGCCACACTGAGAGCATCAGCAGAGATGTGAGGAGACAAAAGGGAGAGCGCAGCGGGCTGAGGACTGAATGAAGCAGAAGAAAGTAAAAAACAGGCATTTCAGACTCCAATTTCAAGAAGTTTACCTCTGAAATTTAAGAGCGACAGAGAGAGACACTCTCCAGAGGAGGCAGAGCCATGGCGCAGTGACATGGGGTTCAGGAGACATCGCTTCAGGTCTCAGTCTTTTCATTTCTAGAATGAGAGTAATAAACACCCTTCTGAAAAGACTGCTGTGAAAATGAAATGAGATTTGGCACTTGGTCAGTGTTTGATAAACAGTGCTTTTTCCTGTTGTCAGAAAGACAAAAAGCAAAAGACCTCACATGAGAGAAAAAGAAGAAAGAAGAGAAATGGGAGAGAAAACAGAACCTGTGGGCTAAAAATCTCCTTATAGTTCCCACCCTCTCTGGCCCACCCGAGCACTCGCCCCTCACGGCCCCAGTTCCATGGGGGCTCAGCAGGGCAGCCAGGGCGATGGCTCCCAGGATCATGACTTGAGTCCGGCTCCTTATGTCTTCCAGGTGCATCTGCAGTGGCCCCCGGAGGCGGACACTGAGGAGAGAATGAGGCAGAGCAGGGCAGGGAGGAGCTCTGAGTCCAGGACTTATTTCCCTATCTGGTGGAAGGAGAAGGGGTGGAGGTGAAACTGCTCAATGGGGCTCAGCCAACCAGCAAATGTCAGAAGGGGTATCTTTGGTTGGGAAAGAAACTGATAGAACCACTGGGAGAGGGGGTGGGAGAGCTGTCAGGACCAAGGTGGCCCAGAAAGTCCCAATCGATGTGGGATCTGAGAATAAGAGGAAGAAAACCACAATAGAGACATCATAACCATCGTCCTCCTCTCCCGGCTGGTTCAGTCAGGTGGAGTGTGCAACTCTCAATCTCAGAGTCAGGAGTTCAAGCCCCATGTTGGGTGTGGAGCCTACTTAAAATAAAAAGATCAAATCAAATCATCTTCCTCTTAATGAGATTGTTTTGAAATATGTCATTGAAGTTGATTTTGTGTTTTTTATGGGTAGTGACCTTTGTGAATGGATAACTTTCAAAACTTCATGTCGATTCCTTTTTTTTTATTAAGTTCAATTAGCCCACACATAGTACATCTTTAGTTTTTGATGAAGTGTTCAGTGATTCATTAGTTGCGTGTGACACCGAGTGCTCATCACAACACGTGCCCTCCTTAATGCCCATCACCCGGTTACCCCATCCCCTCGCCCCCTCCCTTCTGCAACCCTGAGTTTGTTTCCCAGAGTCCAGAGTCCCTCATGGTTTGTCTCCCTCTCTGATTTCTTCCCATTCATGTTCTCTCCCTTCCCATATGGTCCTCTGTGCTATTCCTTATACTCCACATATGAGTGAAACCATATGATAATTGTCTTTCTCTGCATCAATTCCTTTTTTTAAGGATTTATTTATTTCTTTATTTGAGAGAGAGAGCGCGTACACTTGAGTGGAGGGAGGGGCAGAGGGAGAGAAACTCAAGCAGACTCCCCTCTGAGGGTGGAGCCTGACTTGGGGCTCAATCTCATGACCTGAGCCAAAATCAAGAGTCACACCCTTAACTGCCTGAGCCACCCAGGGGCCCCTTCATGTTGATTCTTAGTATCCTATAGTAATTCATTTGTTATCAAATGATATTATATTTACCATTTTATACCTTTGATAATTTTACAGGAATTCTTTGATGTTCCTAGGCAGATAAACAGAAGGCAAAAAATGCCTAATTGTTTCATTTCTAATTATTGTTCTTTTATTTCTTCTTATACAGAATTTGGTGATATAAGGCATCTTTATTTACATCTCACTGTTTGTTGTTGTTGTTTTTTAAGTAGGCTCCATGCCTGACATGGGGTTTGAACTCCGGACCCTGAGATCAAGAGTCACATGCCCTATCGACTGAGCCAGCCAGGCGCCTCTAAATCTTACCGTTAAGGTCAATTTCCCTAATCATTTCACATTAAGTCTAATGGTAGATCTTTCGCTGATATGCTGTTTTATTACAGAGGGGTTTGGAACTACACCAAAGGGATGGGGAACTACAGAAATTCCTCTGTGTTTATTGTTAAAATTATAGAATTTATATTATTGGATTAAATAATACGTTGTATTGGATAAAGTGTCCTTTTTTTTTTTTTTAAGATTTATCCACCTGAGAGAGCATGAGAGAGAGCACATGAGATGGGTTAGGGTCAGAGGGAGAAGCAGACTCCCCGCTGAGCAGGGAGCCCGATGCGGGACTCGACCCCGGGACTCCAGGATCATGACCTGAGCCGAAGGCAGTCGCTCAACCAACTGAGCCACCCAGGCACCCATAAAGTGTCCTGCATTATAATAATTAACGTTTCTTGATTCCTTACTATGTGCAAGGCTTTAAGAGATTCACAAATTCTGAGTATCATGCTGATTAGATTTCCCAAAACCAATGACATAATAATCTCCATTCTACATGAAAGGAAATAAGCCACAGTGGTTTAAAAAAAATTCTGGAAGTAGTATAAAGGGGCTTTCTAAACCTATGCCTGACCACTTCTCTATAATGCATCTTTGTACCTAATAGAAAACCTAAATTAAATATTTTTATATGTTTTATTCAATTCATCAACATTTTATATAAGTACTTAATATATTTGTTGTAAATTGTATTTGTTTTGTTGTCTTCCTTAGGTTGTGTGTTCTGGGGGAGTATATTTACCTCATTTCAGGAACCATCTGTATTGTTTGTTGGGACTATTTGATGTTTAAAAGTTACCAAAAATATATATGTATGTTGAATTGCAAAAAAAAAAGGATGGTCCCTGATAACTTCATTGATCTACTCAAAACTCTCAGATCTGTAAGTTTCTAAAGCGTTTTACACGGGTGCTCCCATTTCACCCTCAAGAATTACTGATATGCAGGTGCTACCATCCCCATTTCAAAAATGAAGAAATGGTGGCCCAGAAAAGACAAGTAATTTGTGTAAAGTTGTACACCTACTTCCATGCCTTATCTGGTATTGAAACACAGAGACCCTTAGTCCATATCCTTTCTTCTAAGAGCTACAGAACCGCTGAGAGGAAAAGATATACACCGCATATTTTGCATGACCGCTTGTACAGCTCCCAGGGCTAATTCTGAGTTCTGGGATGGACAGTCTAATCCCCCCAAGTCATTAACACACTGTTTAGGACTTGCTCTGTCCCAGAACATGTCTGTGCAAGGGGGATGGTGTTCACCATGGAGAAGGAATGACATTCCCTGGGATCTCTTCCTAGGGAGGAAAGTATATAAAACAATCAAGACTTATGACTCACCCAGTTGCTCAAAATGAGGATCCCTTTCCTTATACTGTCCAGTGAATCTTACACCTTAAAGAATCATATGTTTTATACCAAACTTCGGTCTGGTAACAATTCCTGTTTATTGGTTCCTTTTCAGAATCTGGTCACACCCAGGGATAAGGAAGGCTGCCCAAGCTCATCTTCTCTGATATTTTAGGAGTGGGGCCCATTGAGTGAGAGCTGTTCTGACTGCAAGTCTCTCAGCCCCCATCCTTTCCCAGGCTCCAGGATGGTGGTCCCGAGGATCACTGGGGTCCCAGGGATGGCCGCTCTCATGATGTCCTTGGGGATGCTAAGCTCCCCTTTGGTTCAGAGCAGAGACACCCCAGGTAAGTGCAGAGCTGCTCCTCTTGGAGGATCCAGCTCAGGGGAATGACCTTAGGGGGCTTTCCATGTGGGCTTACTCCCTGAGAAAGGCTTTGGGGCTCTGACATCGTGCAGGGGCTGCTATTCTCAGCAGAGAGAGAAAGAGATCAGGGTGTGCGTGTGATGGGGACAATGGTCTTTTGTGGTCTGGAGTGATTTTGGAGGGGCAAAGTTCTCACAAAAGGGTCATCAAAATGACATTTTAACATCCATCAAAGATCAGAAAGGGGGAAATTATGGTTAGTCTGCATTGTCCAAGATCTGAAGATCACTCTGTAGAATCAGTGCTCCAGGTAGGGGCCCCTTCCACAGAATCAGGCAGGAACCCTCATTCCATGACCAGTGATGGCCAGAGCAGCAGAGGAGGGTGATGACAAGCTGTGGTTAAGGCCAACAGGATACCAGTTGCAGCTGACTGTCTCTCACATTAGGAATCGGATCAGGGCACATCAGGACAGGACCAAAGAAGTGCAAAACAGGAAATCGCCTCTTCTAGTTCCAGTTCACCACCAAGAAACCATTAGTGATAGAATGGTGAATTAGTTTATGTTAAAATTTCCCAGCCTCCTCATCCCCATCCATAAGGCCAGCCCCACTTCCTCCTGAGGATCAGGTACTCTCAGGTCCCTTCCTTAATTTCCAGGGATAATAGCACTTGAAACTCCCAAATTCATCTGCTCAAACTCCATCCCAATGTACCCATTTCTCAGATAGGGGGAAGGGAAAATTTCAGACATTTCTGCCTCAGAAGGGCAGAGAGTTAGACAGGGCAGCTCAGCTGTGTGCTCGTGCCTGCCATGAGAGAAGAAATGGAGAAGTGATGGTCCTAGACAGCTGGAGGAACTGTGGAAGTAGCTGGTGAAATGGGACAGTGTCCCACAGGAGGTGACAGGAGAAGCAATGCTGTTCTGGGGTCCAGGGGCAGTGGTGCTGATATGAGTACATTGGAAATCAGAGCTGGGGTCTCCTTTGGGGTGAATAGCAAGCAGTGTGGTGGGTGGTGGGAGGAGTGGGGCGAGATGAAGCCAGTGGGTTCAGATTTAAGAGGAATGAATAGAGTCTCATTGCCTTGTGAGAGAGACTACTGTAGGGAGCAAGCAGGTGGACCAGGAGCTCTCTGCACAGTTTTGATGCTGAGGAACTCATTACTGAGTTCTGAGTGAAATGTGAGTCCTGAAAACTTGGACCCAATGGGTTGGGCACATTCCTCCAACTTCTTACGCCTCCAACTCCTCAGGATTTCTTCAACTTTCAACAGAGCAAAAATAAAAAGAGACAAAAGGGGAGATGCTGAAGTTGTTGAGAAAATACTAGAGACTACTGGGCCATGAAGAAAACTGGAGAAAGGAAGTATTCAACTCATGGATGAAACAGAACTGTAGCTCCAACAGCCACTTGAAACACCTTTTGTTCATGACATTTACCATTCTGGCATTTAAGCCCTGGGACTCTATCCTATCACACACCTGGGAGGCAGAAGACACCTGGGGATTTAATCTTTTGTTTATTCCACTTCTTCTATTTCCCTTTCCCAAGTGAAAGAAGAGGTAGAAAGAAAGAAATTATCAGTATTAAGTTAATAAAAGCTCCTTTTCAAGCATTAATGTTGTGCCTCAAAGGGCAGCTCCATTTGAGCCATTCTGAACAAACTAGGGCTCTGTCCTTTGTGTTTCTCTTTGTCTCCACATAATCTAAGCCATCATAGCTTGAGAAGGGGAAGGGCTCTAACCTCCAATGACCAGGGCCAGACACTATGCTCTAGGTTTTACTTATATCATTTTATTTAATTTTAACAGTAGTCCTTC